CTCTGTGCTGACCCCTTCTGAAGTCCACCACCAGCTCCTTGGTCTTCACCACTGATCCCAGTTTTTGCCATTTGTGGATAACGGCTTGCAATCTGGCTATTAGTCTTTCCAGACTAATAGATATAAATAACATTGTTTCTCATTTGTTCTTTAGATCGTGGTATGATGTGTTGCGTTTATAGATCTTTTAGCTTACTTCATATTATCAGACAGGTTCAGATTAAGTGATTTCTTGATTCAACAGTATTTGAAATAATTACACCTGTGTCTCTATTGAAATTGAGCTCAGCTTTCCAAACAATATGGTTAATTATTGTTAAATAATGACTTAACTCTGAATTGAATCATCATGTAAAAAATGCATTTTGTTTTTATTCCGGTTATCTTTGTCTATTGTTGTTATTTGTTGATCATCTGTAAGTGTGATGAATATTAAAAAAAGAAATCAAGAAGGGGGGAGTGCTTTTTCATGACACTGCCACACTGTTGACAGGCAATGCGTCAGTTCTAACCCAAACCCTGTTATCAGGATGAATACCCTGGTCCGTGTCCTGCTTGCACTTTGTTTGTTTTCTCCACTTGCTGATTTGCTTTATTTTTCAAGGTCCTTTTCCTGTCGATTAGGGTTAGGAAAATACTGTTTTTCAAGTTGAAATATGCCCTCTCACAATAGTAACCTTGCTTGTAGGAGTTTTCCGTTACACCCACATATCACTAATGTCATCACCCAGTGCGTAAGGGTCCGGAAGCTAAAGGACACCTTGTTCCTAAATGAGCCATGTGAGCTTATTTAGTAAAACAGAACTAAAAGCCTGGGGATGAGAATGAGCTGAATTGATGCATAAAAATCTAGAGCTGTAATTAGCCTGAAACATGCAAATCAAAGACCAGCAAGTGGGCTGTAAGCCAGCTAAATAACAGGCTTCAGTATTCTATTGCAGTGCTTCTCAAAGCATGGAGGCATGGAGACACTGCAGGTTGGGCACACATGCAGGTGGAAGTGCATCACCTTGGGAACTCTTACAGTTTGGTTTTCTGTTACTTTTTGTTCTCACTAGCTTTTTACTTTTACTTTTGTGGTTACTCTCATAAATCGTGTTTTTAAAAAAAAAAAAAAAGCTTAAAATTGCTCACTTCACAGTAACTCTGTTTGGAAATGAAAGCCACTTCAGTAACCCAACCTGCCATTACCCAGTGCCACAGGACAGGACACTTTGTACCTAAATGAGTCACAAATTTAATAAAATACCACTAAATGGTGCCTGGGGAATGAGAACGAGGTGTATCGATATAACGCGCAATAAATCTCTAATTAGCCTAAGGTTTGCACGTCAAAAACCAGAAAACAGACCAAAATGTCAGTTAAATAACAAGTTCACTTCTCAAACTGTGGGTCTTGGAGCCACTGTAGGTGAGACAGGGAGATGCCAAGTGAGGCTTTGGAACTGGAACATGCCAAAAAAAAAAAAAGAGAGCATGAGAAGCATGCAGTGGGGCATTTGTAAAGCATCAAGAAAACGGTACCCATGCTTTTGAATGTTGCACCGAAAATTAATTTGTTCAGTTGTATGTTTGCATGTGCCTATCTTTTTCCACCCTCTTGACCATTTCACTCTTGAAAAAAAAAAAAAGAAAAAAAAGAATTGTCTCAGAAAGGTTAAACACAGAACATAATTTTAAAAAATGAAGAATTTGCAGCACCAACAGCCAATTCTTGAACTCTTGCTAGTCACGGATGGAAACGGGAATAGTTTGAGCTTTCCATAATGAGTTTTGCAAATTTTTGTAGCAATCACTCCCGCTTTGAGCTTGTTAGGGTTAGGGAGGAGCCTGTATGGACCAAAGAAATGATAATAACAGCTAAGGAGTATTTCAGTACACATATGGGCATATGATATGTCAGTAGGTCATTAGAGTATTTGGTCAGGCAGCAGATCTGTGTGCACTATTACACACCAAAGGGCAAAAGCTGCTGTCATAAACTCTGCAGGACCTCTGTGCTGGCACTGTGAGGGCCCACCTGTGCAAAAGCCCTGAAGCCACATCAAAGTAAGCCCTCCGCTGTAAAACTTCAAATATGTTTTCATCAATCCTTTCAGTATGCCACATGTTTACATTTGCCACACATAAGCACACACGCTAGATGCAGACAGGCGCAACACAGCTGAAGACATTTCAGACATTCTTTTGGCTAGCAGGATCTTAAAGACTCTGCCGCACTTGGAATCACACACCCGCAGTGATAAAAGTTCACTACTTGTTTATGTTTGTTTTACTGGAATGAGTGCACTTTTTTTTTCTTTTTCTTTTTTTTTAAACCACGCATTTGTTTAATTGAGGTCTTATTTCAAAAATAAAATTTCTAGTGTTCCTTGCAGTAGGAACTATCTGCATATAGTGCAGTGGTGGTTTTAACTCAGGAATACTTCATGTTTTTCAAGAAGTATAAAACATAAACAAGCTCATTCGGGGCAAATGAGCTTGTTTATGTTTTTTGACTTTGGGGCAAATCCAGGTTAAACGTTTCTTGTATTTGAGTATGCATGCTATAAACCAGTCCGGTTTGCCTCACTACAGTACATACATATTACGGGAAAAGAATGGGAGTTTTTTTCTTCTTCAAGAAATATAAAAATACTCATTTTATTCAAATAGCTTTAGTACGGTCAGAATCTTAAGGAGAACCTACAACAAAAGTCACATTATTGACATGCATGAAATTTAGAAGTAATTAGTTTATTTTGATCCCTCAGAAGCAGCAGGGTTACTGTAACACTAGTCACTGCCTTGACTTATAATAAGGGATTACTTGGAATCCAGCTCATTTCAGGAGAGGGACCTCCCTGTATCAGACAGTTCCTTTGAACGAAGTTGCACAGCAGAGTCTGTGTGTGATGAACCAATCCTGCTGGAAGGATCTGTAAACCCATTCACCTCTTTCAGTCTGGCTGCTGAAGACAGTATGCCACATCTGGTCCCTGCGGTCTCCACGTCTCTGTGACTGGTGGACGAGCACCTCCCAGCAGCTACTATTTAGCTGTTCTCATGAGTTTTTTTTTTTTGTTTGTTTTGTTTTTTTGTAACCTGGAACTTATTTTTTATTGCAAATAATTTCACTTTGTTTTTCTTATGAACTTTTTACAGCCTTCTATAGAAAGTGGTATAGGTTACAAATCTTTTCACAAATCAGCAGCAGAGCCAAAATAAATCAAGCAATTTGATAAATCGGGAAATAGCACAAAGGTTTTAAACCTTTTATCTGTTTAATGTGCAGGAAGAATTGTCCATGCTTTTACTTCTGGATGTGCAGCTCAAAGGATTATCAGGTAAACATCCTAATTTCAGCTCCTCTACAGGAAATATGACCACTTAGCACCTGTACTGAGGTCATTGTATTGGCTTTTGCTTGTTTTAGAACTAAACCCCTAATACTTTTTTTCTTCTTCATTGCCTGCTTATTCTGGGACATCAGTCAAAAGTGGTGAAGTGTTATGGATCTTATGGGTATATTCTTAGTTATTTTATTTATTCACTTGCTCACGTCAGTCTGTTGACTTAGTGTCATATTATCTGACTAGGTTTGTGCCTGCAGCCTCTGTGGTAGCTCGTGCTTTGTGCAGCACATTGTGAATCCACCTAGAATGAAATGTGCTGTATAAATAAGTTCTGCTTTCTTTCTTGCCTAATAGTTTAAGTGAGAAGCTGAATCTCTAGAAAAAAAGTACATTTATTTCAGAATGTTTTTATTTCACTCTTTGTATTTTAATAACAGCGTGAACACAAACTGGCATGATCTGACAGTGTTCCACTGAACTTCTTGAGATGCCAGGAATACTTGTCTTTGAAGTGCCCCCACAAATGCTCTTTGAGGTTGAGGTCAGGTAGCAGTCCACACTCCTTGGTCTACTTTGGTGTTCAAGTAGGCCCTCAAAGCTTTGAGGTGTGTTTGGATTCATTGTCCTGCTGCAGTATGTATCATTCTCCAGAAAAATGCAGGGTGGAGCATCTCTCTGAAGAATGGAGTGTGGCTTGTTTTTGGTCAGGGTTTCGATTAAGTTTAGGTACTCGGCTCCAGGGTAGACACACCTGGTCTGCTGGAAATGTGAGGCATAGCCAGGTTTACTTGCTTTCTTGCCTAATGGTTTAAGGCATAGCCAGTGAGGGAACAATAGCTAAAAGTTGCTTCACCTAAACAACCTGAAAGCCACCAATCTGCTTCACTTTCAAAGCTGTCATACAACTAGTGCAATCTTAAGTGGATCTTCTTAATTATGCGTCTAATTGACAGCAATTCCATTACTGAATTTGTTTATCTATTAAATTCTTTAATTCCCTTGACCCAGTTTTATATGAGCAAAGTAGTACACCTATAGAAGTTTTCTTTTGGATCAGTATATCTGCTATAATATTTGAAATTCCAAACAGGTTACTCATGCTAGCTGTAGCATGTTTGTGCAGCATTCCTTTTCATTTAGGCATAAAATGTGCTAAGCAGGATTGCAATATTTAGAAGGATAAGCTGCTTAGTTGGGAAAGAGTTTTTTGGACTCTAAAGTGTACTTATTATGGCAGTTTGTATCGGGAATAATATGCAACAGGGGGTCACAGTTTTTTAGGGCATAGTGCCCTTTGCTATACTAACATTAAACATGCAAGCTGCAAGTAAACTTACACAGCCATACCAGCATAGGTATGGATGCCCTAAATACCTTAGATGTTTTTTAGTCTGTGACTTGTGTTGCAAGATGAAAGGTCTCTACACTTCCATCTCAAAAATCTAATGTTTAGATCAGTGTAAACAGTCACTGTTACCCAGCGCTTTTATGTTTCTGGTCTCAGGGCTTGATAGTAACAGCCAGCGTCACACAGTGTCCGTGCAGACGTTAGTGGGTAGTTACTAACCCTGCTGTGACGCAGCTCTAACCTTTTTCAGAGTCCACTCCTGCCTGGCCAGCACAGCTGTGTTGACGAGAGATGCATGACATGAAGTGGTAACTTCCTTTGTACAATGAGTACACAGGTCCAGAATGTTGTACACGAGCCTGACAGTAAATATGTGCAATCGTGCTTTTGGTTTTAATGTCAGCATGCAGGTTTTCAGGAAAGCTACCTTGACAACTGCCTTGCAAAAGCCTTGCACTCCAGCAATAACAGCTACACTTTCTCTATCCTAGGTTATTATCCCATGTCTGTAGCTTCTATTTTTAGCACCTCCACCCCATATTTAATCATTTATACTTTGGAGGGTAACAGGCGATACTGCTTCCTGTGGAGGAAGCGGAAAGGAGTGGGTGGGTGAGGGGGGGGGGGTTAGAGAGATGTATGGTCTTGTCTTTTTTTCTGTAGTCAGTTCTGCAGTTGCCCATGTTTCATCTCCCTTCCGTTTCAGCGTGTTCCCCTCCTCCGTAATATCCTGCACCAGAGCACAGAGCTAACATTTACTGCACCACATGCCAAAGGTTATTTTTGTCAGTCCCACAGAGCTGCTCTCTGCTGTGTTTTCTTAATGTGTTCCAGGAACAAAAGCTGCAAATTATCAGCTGAACAATTGCTATGCACAGTTTAAGTTCTCAATAAAATTGCTCAACAGTGCATTTACTGTGTTTTACTCTAACTTTGAATACAAGACATTGTGTTACTCTTGCGTTAGAGACTGTTTCTGGTTTTTAAAGGAAATTGCTTTTAGTGGAGAAAACAGAAAGGAAACACGAGGTTTTGTTCAAAGACTGCTTCCCCTTTGAATTCTGCCTGACAGTTGGCTAAAGTTAAATGTAAAAAATGGCCAGCGTGTCGCCTCCCCTACGAGCAATGACGTAATGAGTCGGTAAAAGCAAACCAATGTATCCTGGAAGTGGGAATTGTGAAACTGGGTTGGGTCACAGCTTTTACGCATATTGAATGAATTCAGGATTAGGTCAACTGCCACTTCTGAGAAGTTGCACAGTTATAGTTTGTTTCAGCTTCCACATTTTAGTAACTTGATTTCTTATATCTAAGGACATCATGCATAAAACCTCTAATGTGTAAACATGCAGCTTTGTATTTTTTCTTATAGCCCTTTTTTGTTAGTGAGTGCTTGCCAATAACTGAAATATTTCATGTATTACATAGATTGTTGCAACATTTTTATGCAGACATACACAGTGATATAGACTGTATCTCAAAGATGCTTAAAGCCATTGGTCCTTGATGTTTTGTCTAGAACCACCTCGTGTAGTGTCAATAAGTGATCTGTCATTTGATTGGATTTTTACTTTCCTGGGAGAATCTTATGGCAGGTGGAGGAAAATCAAGCCAATTGATGTCAGGTATGACAAATCATGCCACAATGATTTGTCGTTGGGTCGTGAAATAAAATTGCACTTCCCACTTAGTACATCAGCATTCATTTTTTGGCAGAAGAGACTTTTTTGTGTTCTTTTGTTTTAGTCCGAGCCAGATTCCTTCTTGCTCCGTTTCAACTTTTATAGCTCTATTTCACATCTTTCCTCTTATTGGTATCATTTTAAAACAATATTTTTTTCAACATTTAATTTTGTAACTTAATATTGCATTTAAATGCAGTAACCTTAGCAGAAAGGTAATGTGCAGCTGGGACATGGGAGGTATCGAAAACCGCTTTTAAGCCAAATAACTGCAATTTGACTTGATGCTAAGCTCATTCGTCTCTATATACTAATAGCATCAAGTCTATGTTCATCAACTTAGATTCTGTTTTGTTGCTGTTATAGCCTCACATGTATTTTTAGCAGCAGCTTGGCCTTTGTGTCACTTCTTTAATCTCCCGCAGGAACATCTTGTTGCCAGTCAGCATATCAACAAATTAATTAGACTGTGGTTTATTTGGTTTCCTTTATCTAAATACCAGATGCATCTCTACACTAATTAACAAGAATTCAGTAAGGATCATATTTTGTCTTACACAGGTTTAAGCACAGCTGTCTAAAAACTGCAATGTCATCAAAAATGCAGAGCTCCAGTAGCATAGTTCAGGCCAGACGGACGGTGCAGCAGCTGAGGATAGAAGCCAGCATTGAGAGGATAAAGGTATGTCTGCAGTCACATTCACACCACTATGACTGTTCCACTTTTTTTTTTTTTTTTTTTTTTTTTTTTTAGGAGATTGGTGTATTTACTGATTTCTTTGCAGGTGTCCAAGGCTTCATCGGAGCTGATGCGCTACTGTGGAGAGCACGCCAAGAATGACCCGCTGCTAATGGGTATCCCTGCTTCAGAAAACCCTTTCAAGGACAAGAAGCCTTGCACAGTTTTGTAGGGAAACACCTGAACTCTTGCTTTTGATGCTAAATCCTATGTGTAAAAGCTCTGCTCACAACTTGCCTTAAGGCCAGTATACCCCTTAACTTTTTCACATGCCTGCTTGAGTTTGATAAGGAATGTAGTCCTCTCTGCCTTTTAGTCAAATAGCTGTGACACCAAAGAACGGGCAGAAGGCTGAAGCCGTTGCCTCTGATCAAAGCTGCGGCTCTAACAAAGATGATTAAAAGTGTTGGCTTTTGTTTGTCTGCACTGTAATCTGACAGGATCTGGAAGGCCACAGACCTCAGCCTGAAAGGAGCTGAGAGTTGGGAGAGTTGATGACTGTAATTATGACAGCACGTATAAACAAGCCCCCTTCAAGTCATTGGTCTAATCAGATTTAGGCTTTGGGTTTTCACTTCTTGCTTTCATCAGGAAACGGTTTTTATTCTGTTCAGAATGAGACGATTAACAAGATAATGATATCCTGTCAGATGAGTTAACTGTCCAAACTCTAATGGACCTGCATTTCCGGGATAAACAGAAAGGGAGGTCCATAACCACTGATGTACTTTTTATTGTCACGCATTTTGACTCAGAAGAAATGGTCTAAAATCATCAAAGGAGACCCATTATGATCATTTCCAGCTCCGCATTTTATCCTTAGACTCTACTACAGTAGTTTTATATGATTTTACAATTTAAAATATTCCTTAGTTTTTGTGCCTTCTACTTTACTTCCTATTCCCCTCCTCTTATGTCACGTTTAATCTGATTGGCTGCCTCTCACAAGTAGGTGGGGCTTCTGCACCATACCTTATTGCCCAAGAGAGGGGGGGACTGCCTGAAGCTGGGCTTAGAGCAGTCTGAAGGCTGAGCTTTTAGATCATAGGGATTACTCGATCATACGTGTCTCTTATATCTAACCTTGTATAACCTTTCCAGAGATGCAAAGAGTTTGTTCAAATATAATTCAGATTTTGATTTTTTTAGACATTTCAAAAAATGATGTGGTGCACTTGTACAGTGCAGTGCCAATATTTCAGGATGAACTGATGCTTAATTTTGCTGTAAGCTTGCTGTTTTTGCAACTTTGGTTGTATTCAGCGGAGAGCGATAAAAGAACACGAACATGATATCTGTAAGTCTTACGATGCAGGTACTTGGAGGATGACACTCTTAAATGGAGTAAACCTTAACCTTGCCATGAAGCCGTTACTGTAGAAGAAAAATATTTACAGTAATCAGACTCATCAGATCTAGTTTCGCTGCTTCTGTCTGCAGACCTGAGGCTTCTTGTTTGTACACTTCAGGCACTGTGAAACCAATGAACACCAAATGACTGTTATGAGTTTGAAACATTTCATGTTTACAGCTCAAACTTCCTTTGATTATATCATGTTGACATAGCTGTAACTTTATGTCATTTGTGAGCTATACTCTTGCTAAAACATGAGCAACTACTTTTGTAATTTTACCAGCCAGGGCCTTAATAATGAAGTTAATCCTACTTTAACCTCTTGACTACCTTTAAGTCACATAAGTGCTGTTGTCTAAAACTGTGAATTATAAGATTCTTTAGGTGAATTAAGAGATATATGGGGTATATCTTACTAAAGGCTTGTAACACTGTGCCCATGTACCAGAGTGTGCTTGCTTGTAAATGTTCTTTTCAGGTTTCAGTCAAACCTTAACATTTGACTTTCTATTTTGTTTCATGATTTCAATGTTTGGGATTAAAAAGTGTTACGTGTTGCTTTGTTAACGATACATTTGGTTGATTTTGATCAGTCTGTATGGATTTATGTTTTTATTGATAAGTCTGTGGTTTCTCACACGTGGTCAATAACAGCTTACTGTCATATTCAAACCTTTGCCTGTTGTTGCATATATTCAATGCAAATAAATATGGAAAACAAGTTAAATTATTCAACTAAATTTACATAAGCCTGTTTTAGACATTTTCATTGCATGAATCATCATTTATATAATCAAATGGAGGGTCTACTGTGTTCATTTTTCGGCTCCATATGTTTGATATTGGACTTTACAATAGTAGGTTTTCATCATTTAAAGTTCATGATGATCCTTATTTGTCTTAGACTGAGCATTGGTGCAGATCTTAAGTGAATCCAACATCTAAAACAAACTGTCCTACCTTTTAAGCAAGCTATCTTCTGATTGGCTGCCCCTTGTAAACAGCAGGGTTTGAACAGCTGTGGTTGTAGCTGTAACTGTGTTCCTGACATTAAGAAATTCATAGTAGGGATATCCACTCTCACTGACATTATGTAGAGCCGAGAGCAGAAAAATGTCCTGATATCGAGCATCTAAAGCAATTTGGAGCTTGAGCTTTTGGCTATGAGGGGTTGCTGACCTCATTAATTGAGAGTTTGAGCATGTTTTATATGCACGCCCACCACTGTAATTATATAGAAAATGTCTTATTGTAACAACATGAATATTACTCCTTTGTCTGAATCACAAGTCACAATGTTTAGACAAGTGGATGAGTGAATCAGGTCAAAGACCCAAACATTTTTGATTGTTCTAATTTCTCAGCAAAGTTGTTTACATGCCCGTAAGCCATGAGTACCATGTTATGCAATAATCCCTACTTCTGTGAGCACCCTTTTATCTCCTGTCTCAGTCTTCTCAGGTGCGATGTTACATCCACAATCAGGTCAGGCCATATTTGTTGGCCCACATTCATGTAATCCCCACTCGAGTCAGATGACTTACATGGCTGGCTTTTGTAGCAGCATCATTTATAGTGATAGTGTTACCTGGTAATGAAGAAGCCCTGGGATAAGCCAATAATCCACTATCTCCAGTATCTCACCTACTTTTAGAAGCTCCTCCCTCAGTGTCAGGAAGGCCTTTCAGTGATCAAACTGATTTTCAGGAGGTGTCATGTCATACAGATCAGACTCTACTATTTCTGATATTGTTTAACAACCTAAAAAACCCCTTCAGATCTAAAAATTCTATCAAGGTTAACGTTATTTACATGTACAGACCTCTATACAGTTTCAGATTTGCAAAATTTTCTTGTTTATTGCAGTCAGTTTAAGACAACCACAGACCGTGTAGCTTCTGTCATACCCCACAATCCTCCTCAGTCTTCCAGTCCCTTTTTGACCCAGTTTTCCCTCCCCATCTGTTAGCCCTCCGCTTGACAGGAATGTTGTCTTTGTGATATCCCTGCCTGCAAACTGACATCTCTTCAGTGGGTCAGTCTCTGTGCGTACACTGCATGTTAATTACAAGAACTATTATTGTCAGTGGTCAGAGGGTATGCCTCTATTCATGTGGCTATTTTTAGGCATAAAGCTAAAGTACTGTACAGCTCTAGCAATAGAGCTGAATAGCCCTGACTCATGCATCCTTTGTCTCGTGACGCTCTGTGTGGAAACCTTTGTCCTTTCTAACTCTGTGCAAGCACCATAAGTTCTGGTTTTCTCTTTTTACAGCCTGAAAGGGGTCTTCAACATTTTTTTTTTCATGCCTCACTGCTATTTTTAATTCTCTCAGCAGTAAATTTAGCACTGATTGCGTGAATGCAGAGGGGTGTGAAGAAGGAGCTGTCACAATGAGCCCCATCCCACTTAGATTTGACTACAATGGGAATTCTCCACCCCTCTGTGTAATAAGATCTCCAAGATGTGCAAAAGGTCAACGTTTACTAGGGTTCCCATGCAGCAGTAAACTTTATTTCAAGAAATTAATGCCTGCAGCACATTTCAAAGCCAGCTAATCTGGTCTGAAAAGACTTGTAGTTGTCCATTTTTCTGCCACAGGCTAGATTTTTTTTCCCCCTCAAGCTGGGAAACAAAGCCCAGATGAGGTGCACAACTCTAGTTCCTTCTCAGACCGTGTGGATTACCGAAAACACGTTAGCTACTCCACTTCTGTCTTTGTTGTACACCCTCCTAAACAGGTTGGCTTTATGCTGAAATGCAAAAGAAAAGAAAAGCGAAAGCATATGTCAAGTAAATAAATAAACGAGTCACTTCCCTTGTGACATGTAACAGCAAACTCCAAATGTCAGGAAATTCATGCATGATTTTCTAAAAGTGCACGGATGGAGTAGTTGCTGAAAAGGTAAAGCAAAACCCATCTGAGAACTGTTTTTAAATGTTATTTTATTCAAATTTTCAAGGCACAATCTTTTCAACTATGCACAATAAATATAACTTATTAAATTAATAACATAACAACAAGTTACCGGACAAACATTGTATTGTCCATAATAATAATAATAATAATAATAATAAACTGTGAAAACTTTCCCTTTTGAGTTATCAGAGTTATCAAAGTGACAAGTTTTTAAATAAGATTAAGTAAATGTTCTCTTGAAGAAATGCTGAGTCAATTTGGTCAAATTTTCATGAGGAGTTTTTCAAGCTGACAGCTGACTGATCCACTCTGTTGTGGTCCAGTTCCTGGAGTCTTGTCAGCTGAGACACTCTGTCGGCTTTTCCCCCAGTCCATGCGCCTGTGCTCGGCACCACGTGTGCTCCAGGCTCACATGATTCAGTTTCCTCGAAAATTATTCTTTCTCGGCAGAGAAAGGCGCAGTCATACGTTAAAATCCGGGAACCCAGACAGCTGAGTCACTCTTCCTTGGCCCACAAGTTCACCCTGACCTGGTAAATTTGTTGGAACGCTTGTGCTCTTTTTTTCCCCCCTTCCTTCTCCTAACTCTCCCGTCGCTCCCTCTCCACTTCTCTCTCTCTGGGGCGCTTTCCAATCAAGTCCAACACAGACATTAACACAGGCCTTAGGCAGTTACTTTTTCCCCATTGCACACAATACATTTATATTCCAAGCAGCTTCATCGGTCAGGAAGGTTGATAACAGGCACCCACTGATCCAAACACCGGCAGTCTCTGCAGAATCTGTTCAACTTGCTCAGTGCAGGGTCCTTCCACGGGGATGACTGCGGATTCTGCACAGGAAAGAGCAAAGCGGTTACCATCTGTTCTTTTATGAAACGTGCAAATAATAATTCAGATTGCATAACTGATGCCAACTCCTAAGTGCTGACAGCAGAAACGAGAAGCAATAAACCCCAGGTACATTTGATTGCTCAAAAGGAAATGAGCAATATTCCCAAGGTTTAAACTACACGGACGTGAGTAACAGTACTTACAGTAACTAGAACACAGTGTAAGTCCATTGGCTCTCCTCCAGGCTTCACTCCGCCGAGTATCTCTGCCAGACGCCTCATGTTGCTCACACGCAGGATGTTGATGTCATTCTCGCAGCAGAATGCCTGTATCAAGGTAAAGTGAATCTGCAGAGCCACATCCTCCTCATCATCTGTGGCCAGTAGACACAACACCACATTGTCTGGATCCCTAAAAGCAATGAGGAAAAAGATAAAGCAAACATTACTACTTCATGCTCATCCCAGCTAGTTTTTCATAGTGCGGCAGTAGCGAGCTTACTATCAACTTACACATTGAGTGACTTTGCTGCTTCATAAACTCCGACAGTGATGCAACCCTGAGGCAATGCAGAGCTCAGGACCTCCTCTAACGCTGTAGCCACCGAGTCCATTCTAAAGAAACAAAAGTTTAACAGAACGCGCATGATCAGAGAGGCTGTTAGTTTAAGATTTGATGCCCCAATTGTCCATCTAACGCCGTTCACGTGATATGTGAATGCCAGCTCGTGATGTAACGTTGCATGTGTGATACAAATGCAAGAACCGCGAGACGGCTCAATATAATAGGGCTGAATGTCGGTCACAAAGGGCAGTGTGCAATTATATCTGCAAACCAATAATTCTAACAAAAAGTTTCTAAATTCGTATTAAAAACAGAATTAAATTAAAGGAAAATGCAGAGTTCAACGCAAAGCTAACCTTTCTGATGAATTATCTCCACTGGTATCTTCAAAAGTCATATTGCACATCCAACCGGGTCTTGGTATAATGTCCAGAGCGGAATCTGTGCGTCCTCTGTTGTCTAGTGAGACTCTCGCTGTGCTCGGAGCGTCCGGGTTCCAGTAGTAAAAATCCTGTGTACGCAGAACTCATTTGCATAAAGCCTACCCAGTTGTGGATGACTGGTCACGTGATTCACATTGAACCTGTGCTTAGAAGAAAGCGACATCCCGTGGCCATAACAGGACAATGACTAATATGAGAATAATCAGAACTAGTTTCTGGAAATATAGTAAAACCAATTCGTCAGTAATCACGAGGCATTTTCAGAATTACAGCAACTAACCAAACATTTTATTTCACTTCCACACGGTGAAACAAAGTAACATGTCATAGCTTCTATGAACATTTGCAAAAAAAAAAAAAAAAAAAATCCCCAGTAAATATTTGTTTTTACAAATACAGATTCAAAACATTAACCTTTAGTGATTTCGTTTTACGGTGCAAAGTAGTTTCTGGCTTCAATATAAAAATGTCTAATAATTTTACAATGGTTTCTTGAACATGACAGTAAGTTCACCGCACTTTAATGACCACCACAGTCACCAGATCGCAATCAAACGGGGTGTGATAGAGCGCGAGATTCGCGTCATGGATGTGCAGCCTATACACATCTGCAGCACCATGTGATGGAAGATGTAAATATATGACTTGAATGAAAGGAAATGTGGGATATAGCGCCTCTGTTGGTAAGTAATGTGTACTTTTTTTTTTCAAACTGTGAAAAAACGTTGGGCTCTGACGCTTTCGCTGTCTCGAAAACTAAATCTGATCGGAGACCAGCTGACCGTCATCTGCATCCTGCCTACCGGCAACGTGGCAAGTTGCGCTTTTTTCTGCACATGCAACCTACAGTCGAAGGCACGGTTTGTCATGTTGTGCTGACGTAGACCAGAAGGTCAGTTTAGTTTTTATTGTGATTATCCCGAGGATGAGCGTGATTTCCTCTTTTACAGCCCCCTGGAACAGCAGCTGTCAAACTCTTCAGGGCGTGCTCCACTGTTTACCTTCAGATCACTGAGATACACAATGCAAACACAACGGCGATCAAGGAATGTGCGCTTATGTGTGCTTTTTAATCTGTTTAATATGTAACTATACTATGCTAATATATATATATATATATATTCCTCGCACTTGGATTTACTCTGATTTCACCTCCAGAGCACCGAGACGACATTTTTTATGGGTCACAGTATTTTGTGAACTTTATCCTCTTGTTATCATACCGATTTGTTATCACCTCATGTTGTGAGTTTCCCATGGAGTGATGTGGCATTTGTGGATGTACTTTGACTGTGGCTGGGATGTGTGAGCTGTAAGTATAACAAACGTTTGCAACTTTCTTCCTGCGAATTAATGATTGCAGACATTTCCCATTTTTTACCGCAGGTGTTAAAGGGTCATCATGGATCACAGAGGTCACTACTGGCCGGACTCAGGCCGTCATTCCCACAGAACAAAAGACAGAGAGGGATACACCAGCCACTCTCAGCAGGAAAGGGACCAGCTCTATCCACCTCCGGACCTCAGAGAGAGGGACAGGCACTGGGGCCATCCTGATGCCCGTTACAATGTTCATTTCCCTCTGCCTACACCTGACTTTTATCCATACAACAGTCAGCAGTATCAGTATGGGTATGGACCTGAGCACCAAAGACCTCTGTCCAGGTTTGTACAGTTACAAGTGACCCCAACTGGCTACTAAGCTGGAGTTATTATTTGGGTATTATTAGTGTGTTTGTGAATGCAATGTAGGATAAAAGTTGCACAACAGTTGGTAAAAGAAGCCTGGTTCCAACACTGAGCTTAGTGTAGCTTTCTGTCCTTGCTAACAGTGCATGCTGGGATATGCAGTGCATCACAGATGATGGAAATGTAATGACTTCATTAAGATTCTCCTTTATTTTCAGGCATGGTTATGACTATCCACCTTACAGCCACTGGGACTACAGAGACAGCTATGGTTGTTATGACTACAGAGGGCAGCATGGACGACAAGGTGTAGTGATACAAAACAGCCAAGCTTTTTTTTTTAGAGTCATCTTCTACTCTCGGTATAAGAGAGATGGGATGATGTGTAACGCTGTTTTTTAAGATGGTGGCCAGTGGGGTCCTCAAGAACCATGGAGAGCAGATCGGTACCATGACAGGGCACACAACCAAGAACAACTAGGAAGCGTGAATGCTCAGGAGTACAGGTGGGTCAGTGCACTCTACTTCTATCAAAGCCAGTGCCTTTGCTATCTGATGATACTGTGAAAATGATACCTGCACAAAAGAGAGAGGTACATCCAGAAATGTTGACAGGTTAAACGGTTCTCTAGCACTACAAAGTTTGTATGGAGGGTTTAATAAAAACAAAAAAAGAAGAAACAATAAAAAGTAAAAGAAAACCTATAATGTTGGGGTTTCAGTATAATATGTTGTGGTGATAGATGGTCACTCTTGATCAAGAGTGAGTGTAGAAATAAGCTAGAGGAGAATGTGTACACAAGAAATCAACAAACAGGCAAGTACAGGGAGTGCAGAATTATTAGGCAAATGAGTATTTTGTCCACATCATCCTCTTCATGCATGTTGTCTTACTCCAAGCTGTATAGGCTCGAAAGCCTACTACCAATTAAGCATATTAGGTGATGTGCATCTCTGTAATGAGAAGGGGTGTGGTCTAATGACATCAACACCCTATATCAGGTGTGCATAATTATTAGGCAACGTCCTTTCCTTTGGCAAAATGGGTCAAAAGAAGGACTTGACAGGCTCAGAAAAGTCAAAAATAGTGAGATATCTTGCAGAGGGATGCAGCAGTCTCAAAATTGCAAAGCTTCTGAAGCGTGATCATCGAACAATCAAGCGTTTCATTCAAAATAGTCAACAGGGTCGCAAGAAGCGTGTGGAAAAACCAAGGCGCAAAATAACTGCCCATGAACTGAGAAAAGTCAAGCGTGCAGCTGCCAAGATGCCACTTGCCACCAGTTTGGCCATATTTCAGAGCTGCAACATCACTGGAGTGCCCAAAAGCACAAGGTGTGCAATACTCAGAGACATGGCCAAGGTAAGAAAGGCTGAAAGACGACCACCACTGAACAAGACACACAAGCTGAAACGTCAAGACTGGGCCAAGAAATATCTCAAGACTGGTTTTTCTAAGGTTTTATGGACTGATGAAATGAGAGTGAGTCTTGATGGGCCAGATGGATGGGCCCGTGGCTGGATTGGTAAAGGGCAGAGAGCTCCAGTCCGACTCAGATCGCCAGCAAGGTGGAGGTGGAGTACTGGTTTGGGCTGGTATCATCAAAGATGAGCTTGTGGGGCCTTTTCGGGTTGAGGATGGAGTCAAGCTCAACTCCCAGTCCTACTGCCAGTTTCTGGAAGACACCTTCTTCAAGCAGTGGTACAGGAAGAAGTCTGCATCCTTCAAGAAAAACATGATTTTCATGCAGGACAATGCTCCATCACACGTCGTCCAAGTACTCCACAGCGTGGCTGGCAAGAAAGGTGTATAAAAGAAGAAAAACTAATGACATGGCCTCCTTGTTCACCTGATCTGAACCCCATTGAGAACCTGTGGTCCATCATCAAATGTGAGATTTACAAGGAGGGAAAACAGTACACCTCTCTGAACAGTGTCTGGGAGGCTGTGGTTGCTGCTGCACGCAATGTTGATGGTGAACAGATCAAAACACTGACAGAATCCATGGATGGCAGGCTTTTGAGTGTCCTTGCAAAGAAAGGTGGCTATATTGGTCGCTGATTTGTTTTTGTTTTGTTTTTGAATGTCAGAAATGTATATTTGTGAATGTGGAGATGTTATATTGGTTTCACTGGTAAAAATAATAATTGAAATGGGTATATATTTGTTTTTTGTTAAGTTGCCTAATAATTATGCACAGTAATAGTCACCTGCACACACAGATATCCCCCTAAAATAGCTAAAACTAAAAACAAACTAAAAACTACTTCCAAAAACATTCAGCTTTGATATTAATGAGTTTTTTGGGTTCATTGAGAACATGGTTGTTGTTCAATAATAAAATTATTCCTCAAAAATACAACTTGCCTAATAATTCTGCACTCCCTGTATAAACAATTAATGCCTAAACATTTATTAAAAAACAAACATACTTCCTGCATTACAGTCTGTCTAATAATCACTGCAAATTCTGTGAGCAAGAAAGTCACACGAATACAGCATAGACTTAACTGCTATGTGTTCTCGCAGTGAAGAAGAAAGCAATGCACATGAAAATGCATTTCTTTCAGGTACAACCAGGTGAGAGACAGCTCTCAGCATTACCTCAATGACTTTGAGGACAATCCCTCCAGAGACAATGAAGAGATTTCCTCTTTTTACCTTGGGACATTAGAAAGCTCCAAAAACTCAGGGTTATCTTCCAGCAGCTATGAGCTGAGTCAGTACATGAATGGAGCCGAACACAGTGATGCTGCCCCTCAACCCTATGGAGGTGAGCACGCAGTTCCTCTCACGTCCACATCGTCTCTGCTTATGCCTCTTTTTTTTAAAGCTTTGTATTTTCTCAGACCAAGCACATGTGCATCAGATGTCAGCTCCTCTGAAGTACTCGATCCCTCATGCTGTTATCAGTTTTGGGCCTGCGGGTCAACTGATTCGGGTCACTACAGGCTTGTCAGCACAGGAGAATGTCAGCCACCTGGAAATCCACAGTCTGGAGGTAGGTTCAGTCAAGTTGTTTAAAAAAAGCAACAGATTTTCATGGAGGATACTACTAATCTTTTACCAGATGAAAATTATAGCACTCTCATGGACCTTAAGGGCCCTAAAGGTATACTATAGTCAGACTAATAGGATTGATTTGGGTCTGTTGGAAAGGATTTCACAAATCCACAATTATTTTGCTCATGTCAGTGATAATTAAGCCATTAACATTAATATTTCATGCATTGTCATTTGTTTAATTTAATTTCCCTTTATTAAAGAAACACATGGGTCCATAACAAATAAAATAAATAAATACATACAGAATAGGGCTGTTCGATATACCGATATATATCGGATGACGATATAAAAATGTCTATCGTTTCATTTTACGCTACCGTTTTTTTTGTGGTGTCGCAAAATAAACTGTTTACGGCAATATTTTTTTCATCGTTTTGATGGTCACTGTAGTGGCTATATTAATTTCTTAAAGTTGTGTCTTTCTCTTATATTTTATATAACCACACTACAGACAGACAAGCGTTTGTTTTTATGCCTTGCCGTTAGCAACAACGACGGTAACACCATCGCGTGTCCGCTTGGTCCACATAAGCCTTTCACAATAAAGCTCAAGATCCTGTTGAGACTTTTCAAAATAAACTGAATGACGTGAAAGATGCAGAGTGTTTACGGATGAGAAGCAAAAAAAGAGCCGTCAGGTGCTAAAAAATAAACCTTAGACTCAAACGTTAGAACAGGCTTTTCCCCGCAGCACACCGTGTAATAAATACTCACAAAGAAAACGGCGGCCGTTACAACTTATGTCTAAAAATGTATAGTTTCTTAAAACACTCAACTAGCTGGAAACACTTAACGCAAGTCGAGCTGCCCGAGATTCACAGAATTTACAGAAAATGTTACATTTTTGTGATTTATATCGTTATCGGACGATAGATGTCTTAATATAAGGATATGATATTTTGGTCATATTGCACAGCCCTAATACAGAATACATTATTTTTTCTGTTGTTGCTTTGTATTCCCCTGAAACGTGTAACACAGCATGTATAATGGTTTCTTGGAAACCTAAAAACTCTTTGAGTTTGAAAATATTTATGTCACAGAGTAGTTAGGGTTATTAATTGGTGAATATTGATTTGTTGAGGTCTTTGCTGCACATTAGTTTTAAGTTTTCCACTACTCAGTAGCTACAAATATATGTTTTATATTTCTACTCGATGTGGCACATTTTGTCCACCATGGTTTTAGTTCTGTTTTGTCTGCTGTCAGTTTCGGTATAAATCCATGTTTTGAAACTGCACATGGGAGAATAAGTCTTGATGGAGGATTTTTCTCTTCAAATGTACCTCTAGTGTTTTAATTTTTTTAATTTTTTTGTTTACTAAAAGTTATAGTAAAACAGTGGATATGAGTCTATAAACAGTTAAACGCTTCCCCATGAAATTTAGCCTGCTGGGTATACTCGGGGTCAGAGGCTGGACTTTTTTTCTTTTTTAACACAGAGGGCTGATCCAGACTTCCTGTATTGGGGTTCTGGTTCAGCAGACTGACACCTTATAATCTTAAATATAACCACTAGGTACGTTAGTAACTACAGTAGTTAGTACTATCCAGTTTTCTGTACTAAATAGTAAATCTTGCAGAAATGGGCTTTTTTTTAAAAAAAATTTGTTTTAGAAATACCTTTATAATTTACAGCTACAGGAGAGTAAATTGGCCCTTACAATAAAACATTAGCAGTAATGTTTCCAGTAAGGTTTCAAGACATTATTTTTGTCTTTAAATGTACATAGGTTATTCTAAGTGAGACACAGGAGCAGCATGAAATGAGAAGCTTCCCAGGGCCTTTAACCAGGTAATAGTCTTTGGTTTTGTAATTCTGACAATAACAAACTGCATTCAGCTGTATGCCAGATCTAGGATTATTATTAGACTTGTGAGACTTCCATGTTTGAATGTTATGTATATTTTACTGAAGGGAGGATTTGCACAAAGTGGATGCTATAGAGTTTGCCCACCAGATGGCAGGCGCCTGCATGAGGGACAACAAACTGCAAGATAAAAGCTCTGCTGCCCTTTTGTGGAATATTCTGATATTGCTCTGCAGACAGAATGGAGTAAGTGGATTATGTGTTGGCATTACACAGTATGTAGAGGGATCACATTGCCATCAGAGAGACATCAGGGCAATTATTGTGATTATTTTTGATACAGTTGTCACTGTATTTTGGTATTTCAGCAAATAGTCGGGTCAGATATTGCAGAGTTGCTGATGCAGGACTCACATTCAGATGGAAGCTGCCCATCAGATGCCCCCACGCTTATTGACTTCAATGAGGATACAGCTGCTGAAGCACCACCTTGCAAAGGAGACGACCTGCTCACAGGAAACTGGAGCAGCTTTAGCTCAGAGAACTCTGAGAAGGGCCTGCAGACCTACACTCAACTACTGCTGGCTGGAAGAAAGAAGGTCTCCACATTCACCTTTAATTAGCTTTTTAACAGCTGCTGGCAAGTCTAGCATTTAACTCTAGTGGCTTCAAAAGACGTCAGGCCCACTGCACAGAGCCAAGATAAATTAATGTGACCATGAGACATGATTTTAGTTTTAATCCTCTGCACTTTTCTCTAATGTTTGATTTTGCGTGGAACATTATAGAGACCTCTTTAGAGCAACAGGTAATATGATATTGTATAATGAATGCAAATTTACAATGTTTCCTCTGGGATGCTCTGGAGTAAATATATAAATTAGCATAAAATGAAACTAATCAAGTTAAATTCATGTGTATATATGCAAGAATTTAGTCAGTCACATTTAGTCAGGATAAAATAATCAAATATTAATCAGTCTGTACTGTGTACTGTAGCTCAGTCTCTATCTTTCATATGTGGTTTTCAGGAGGCCCTGGAGTCGGCTATGACCAGCGGCCTGTGGGGACATGCACTTTTTCTGGCCAGCAAAATGGACAACAGGTCCTATATGACTGTACTGAACAGGTGAGAAAACTCATGGCCTCTGAGACGTGACAGCTGAGAGAAATCAGCACACAGCTCTATGTGGTAATTTGTCAAGAATTGCTAAACTTAGATACTTATGGCTTCCTTCACACTTGCGTTAGCACTACTAGGAAGTGTGAGAAATGTTCCTGTCGGTCCATTTTGGTCCAGACTTAAATTATTTGATATATTTCCACAAAATGTGGACTTTCAAATCCTCAGAGGATGAAAAATAGAAACTTTGATGTTCCAGTAACTTCCTCCAGCACTCCCAAGAGGTTTTTCATTTGTCCAACAGTACCTTAGTGATCTGATATGCTAGATAGAAATATTTTAAAATGAGATCTGATTGTTTTTGCTGAAAGCAATCACAGTGAGTACCCAGACTTTCCTGCCTTTAGGCGCAAGGACAGCTAAGATTAGGAGTAGTGATGAGAAGGTTACTTTTTAAACGTAGAGGTTACATATTCTGCTTCCAGAACAGGAAACTAGACTTAGAGTGGTCTTGAGCAATAGTTCTCCAGGCTTTCTGAAGGTCTTTCAAAGTTTTTTCGTTGGACATTGACTGCTTTTCACTCATTTTCAGTTCAGTTCAGTCCAGTCGTGGTCCTGAACTGTCCATTTTTGAGATTGTTTCTTTTTAAGACATTTAACACTGACCTATGACTCATTCAAACATAACAAGGCACCGAACTCAAGAGATGAACCAGTCTTGTGTCTACACATAGCAGAAAACTTAGCAAAGAACCAATCTTAAATGATTTCTTTAATCACTTTGTCACCAGCAGCCTGTCGCAAAGGTATAAATTATTCCCATTTATGTAGTTGAATCTATAAAGGACACTGAAGAAAACACAGTTTCACAGGCATATAATATATTTTTGTCCCAGCAAGGTGATTCCTATAGAGCATTTAATCAAAAACCTGGTACATATCCTAAAAACTGAAAACGGGAAACTTGACAAAGGGGGGATAAAATAAGGTGTAGCAGCCCTAAAATCTATCTACAGCAGATGAAGCAGCATCTGAAAGCAATATCCTTTAGAAATAGGGGGGGGGGAGAATCAGTGGCAACAAGTCTTGTAGTGAGTATCTACCACCATTCTGGAAACACAGTGGCGGTTCTGTCATGAAGCAGAAGCCATCAACCTTCCAAAGAAGAGCTTTGAGTGTCCTTCAAAAAGCCTGGAGAAGTATTCCTGAAGACTACCTAAAGAAATTATGAGAAAGCTGCCTAAGAGAGTTTAGGTTGTTTTGAAAAATAAATATTCATGCCTGATATTAACTTTGAAGATCATTATAATTGTACAAACTCAGTTTGCCATAAATACTCCATTTGGCTTTTGCACCATATTGCATTAATTTTTTTGTTTTATATTTTTGTTTCAATTAATTTGAGCGTCAGCTATTTTTCAGAGTTTCAGAGTGTGTGTGTGTCTAACCGCGCTGGTTGGTTTTAATTGTTTTCAAAATGTTTAGTTTTTTTGTTGTTGTTTTAGTTTCACTGTCATTTTTATTTACTAACTAATTAATGACAATATAGGTGCTGTTTGTCAGTGGAAACGTTTGAAAAGTTCACCAAACGTATTACAGAAGAACAGTTGGCTTTCCCTCATACACTAAAAATCGGTACCAAAGCCTCGTAATTATAATAATTTATTTCTAGTTTTCTTTTTTGTTTAGTTTTCATTAACAGTAATAAACAGAAATCATTATAATACAGATATTCTCATTAAACTCCCGTGAGCTATTTATCATGTAACCCAGTCTAGTTTTTACAGACTATTTGTACAGACTAAGTGGTATGTCTCAGCAGCCCAGCAGCAGGTTGTCAGTAGAGGAATGTCTGGGGAGAAGGCTGGCAGATAGGCAGACTGATTTTGATTTGTAATTGACAAGAGGGGCAGAATCTGAGCTATCAGTGTGGTGTTTCACTTGTGTGCATACTAGCAGAACAGATGCACTTTAAATGGGATAGTTCCTGTTTTTGTAAAGCCTTGCTTAAGACGTGCAGTGACACAGGCTGCTCTGTTGGCAGGTTCACAGGCCAGCTAACGCCCAGTGATCCCCTCCAGACTCTTTTCCAGCTGCTGTCTGGGAGAATTCCTGCTGCAGCCACGGTAAATTATCCAGAACCTAACAAAACTCTTATATGAAGACAAGCTTATGCTATAGCCTGTATCTTATTACTAAGGTTTAATAGTGATTTTCTGTGCTCAGTGCTGTGGAAATGAAAAATGGGGAGACTGGAGACCCCATCTGGCTGTTATGCTCTCCAATGAGACAGGAGATCCAGCCATCCAACAGAAGGCCATCGTCACCATGGGAGATACACTCGGTACTGATACACCGACTGACTGACAGGTTGTCATGCACACACATACAAACTGATGTGTGTTGCTTTTCCCTGTGCAGCCTCCAGAGGCCTCATACATGCTGCCCATGTGTGCTACTTGACAGCCAGTGTTCCCTTCGGGGTGTTTACACAGAAGGCTGAGAGACTGGCACTTCTAGGCAGCAGCCACAGGTGAGCTGTGATTCCAACTTGCTGCCATTCATCAGTCCAAGTGCTGTTCATCTGGTTATACTGACAGCACAAGCTTAATTTTCTGCTGAAACACGTGCATGTCTTATTTTGATCTTAATTTCTGTCAGCTCTTTGCTTTGAATTTGTCTGTTTTTATTTCCTCTAGGAAATTGTTTGAGTGCTTTGCCACAAACACTGCCATCCAGTGCACTGAACTATATGAGTATTGCCAGACTCTTGGGAACAAAAGCTTTTCAATACCCTCCTTTCAGGTGGGTGCTACTTATATTTTTTGTGTTAATTGTGTACCAAATGGAAATATCAAATTTAAAGGCACCGAATATTCTCTGTGTCATCTAACATCTAACATTTTTCCATTATAACACAGCTCCACTAGCACATAGAATACATTTTCCCCCATCAATTTATTAGACACTTTTACACAGTTTAACAAAAGGTTTCTAGTTTGGATTCAATACAGGAAGATAATACATTAACATTTCATTCAGAATCAGATATCTTTTTGTTGCAATGTATGGTCCTTGAGAAGATCTGGAAGGTGAAGGTAACAGTGGTAATTGGAGCACTTGGTGCAGTGACCCCCAAGCTAGTTGAGAGGCTCCAGCAAATCCCAGGAACAACTTCCAAGATCTCTGTCCAGAAGATCGCAGTCCCAGGAACAGCAAAGATACTGCTTGGGACCCTCAAGTCCTAGACCTCTGGTAGAGGACCTGATCTTGAAGGATAAAGATTGCCGGCAAAACTTTGCCCATCTTTTGTATCTCTGGACACTATTTTAGACTCACTGCATTAGATCAAACAACCCTTAGCAAAGACTTAAATATTTGGAATCATTACCATTAAATCTGCAATAAATGCATGACTGTGGTTATTGTTGTATTTTGGTCAGGTGTATAAGTTCCTGTATGCCAATCGTCTGTTGGACTGTGGGCTTTCATCTCAGGCCTTTCATTACTGTGAGGTGGTCGGACAGGCGATCCTCAGGCATCAGGAGCCTTTCTTTGTGCTGACTGGTGAGGTCGTCAAGGTAAACCTACAGGTTGTCTTACACATCTGACTAACTATCAGTGATCTGTTCAATTACGACACAATGGTTATACTGTATGTATGTTTTTCTTGCAGCTGTCAGACAGACTGAGATACTCAGAGGGTCAGTTCAGTGAAGCAGGGCTCCATAGAGACGGGCAAGAACCGGATTGGCTGAAGCACCTACGTGCTAGGCACCACAGTTTACAGGTGATCAGGTTCTTCAGTCTTTTCACATCATACTATGTTTACCTGTGTGTGAGAGGAAATGTCTCCATTGTCACTGCTGTACAAGGAAGAATTAAATCATGGAGGAAATGTATGATACATGAGGGTTTCTAATTTAGCTTAGCATCAATTCAGCACTGTCAGCAATCACAACTGCTCACAAGTGACTTGTGATTTTATTGTGCACATTTTTCCTTCATCACACCTTGAACAGGAGTGATACGAGGTACCTAATCAAAACGGTAAGTGAGGCATATTTTTTCAGATATCAGTGTTATTATTTGCACACATAAGTTACTGTTGCGTTCCTGTGATATAAGTTGTTTCATGAATTAGGCTCGCAAATCATCATTGTTCTGATGGTTGTGTCATGGTCCCTGGGTCTGGGATACCTTTTTTTTTTAATTAAAGTGTTTCTTGGTTTCTTTTTATTTTATTTCAAAGTTCTGATTTCACATCTAGTTTTTTCATGTTTAGGTTTGGTTAGGGTCTCTGTGTATTCCTGCCTCCCTTAGTTATTTCCTGGTTCATTTTGTTAACCTTTGCCCTACGTGTTTAGTGTTCAGTTTTACTTTCCTGAGTCTAATTTCCCTGATTAGTTCCAGCTGTGTTCCCTGGTGTTTCCCATCTATCTAAGTACCTTGTGTGTATTTATAACTCAAGTCTCCTCTTGCCCTTTGTTGTGTCCTTTCTCAGTGTTATGTGCTCCTCTGCTCCATGCTTTCCGTGGTTCCTGCAGTTCCTGCTTTACTCTCGGTTATGTGCTCCATTGTTCTGAAGTTTACCCTAGATTCGTAGGTTTTTGATTCCTGGTTACAGCTCTGCATTGAAGACTTCACCATTAGAGCTGTTTTTTGAGTTCGTTCCATTTCCTGAATCCAGCGTATTGGGTTCATATCCTGCCTCACAGCCATTTATGATAGACCGCTAAATATTTTCATTATATCTTTCTCTACATTTCAAATCCCTTTACTTACTCATTAATAAGAAAAAAACCTACTTTAATAGATTTTAAAGGAATAAAAATGGTCCCTTAAATTGCTTCAGTTTCCATATTTATGTAAACATTCAGGGCTGATTATGCTACTAAAAATAATAATTATTAATCATTATAAAATGTATTGAATATTGGTTATGCCAGTTGCTTTTTTAGTCATGTTACTGTGCCAGTAGAGTTGGTAATGTTATCCCATCTGGTGGTTGCTCCTCTACTGTAGAGCGAACTAAAATATCTCAGCAGCTATTGGATGGATTACCATGAAATTTGGTACAGACATGCAGGGATCCCAGGCACTGTAGCCTATGATGACAAGTTTGACATAAGATGAACATATTGAATGGTTGCTTCTGAATTTTGCAAAGACAGCTCTAGCTCCTTTCGTCTAGCACCACCAATATTTCACTTCTTTTTAACTATTGTCATTTTGGCTTTATAACAAAATGACTGTCAAATTAATTTCATCACATGGTAAATGTTGTACTTGGGAAATATTAGCATCTGTGGAGTGTACACGGTACAAACTCACACTGCTAACATAGCTGTAATGGAACTTAAACTCTGTAACTAATATGGTGTTATCTTTATTAGACTGGAACTGTCGACTCTACTGAAGCATACCAGCCAGCTCCTGGGAATACTGTTATGTCACATGAAATGCCCTCAGGTATCTTTGCATTGTGTAGCTTTTTTCACACTGTAGAGCAGAAGTATACCTTAATAAAATGCTTTTTTCCCCTATGCAGAATCAGATTTAGATGATTTGAGCCACGGCATTCAGAGTCCTGAGCCTGAACTCCTTTATTATAGAGGACGTGAGGACCAAGAAAGCATATTGCATGAAGATGGAGGAGACACTGAGCAAATGGCAGTGAGGTCATGGGGCATGGGAGCAGCTCAGGACTGGTGTGCCTCATTTACTTTTTCTTTCACACAGACAACACTCTTACTTGATATGTGTAACTGAGTCCTGACAGAGTCTATTATGTCACTGATCTCTCTCTGCCTCTTTGTCTAGGCCACAGGCCCACTGCCCGGCTACACCAGTAACAGTGGCCTATACTCCCTCAGTGCCCACAGTGGCTCCAAGCCAGAACTTCAGTTATCATAACACAGATAGTGGTGAAGTCAAAAGTGCCTCACAACATTGTCCTCCAAATAATCTGCCAGCAATAGCAGAGGGTGAGACTCTAATGTTAGACAGCAATCATTCCCTTCTCTGTTCGGGTATTTACTATGGCCCGCGGTGAGTCAGTGTGACATTTTCTTTTTATTGCTTTTACAGGGGCCGGAGCATCCTCTGGAGCAGGGATGGTGAGAAATGCATTTTAATATTCCACTGGCAACTTTTCGCTTTGATTTATTTATCGCATAAGCATGATTTTAAAGATTACATTCAAATGTATTGTGCTGTGCATTGATTAGTGCTGCTTATAAGTTAAAATGTTTGCCTTTATTTGCCTTTGAAGATGCACAGTCAGATGATTGAGACGAACTTCGGTCAGCCGGGACAAGACGAGCAGATTGTCCCTCAAGGATTGAAAGCTTCTGAGGACACCATTGAGCCTCCTAAACAGGTGGGTGGGCTGCCTATCATATGTCACACAGCTTTCAGTGACATTAGAATTAGTTTACATGCATCACACTTTGTTCTGTGTTAAAAGCAGAACACAAAGAAAGGATGGTTCAGTGGCTGGTTCAAGTCAAAACCTAAAGTGGTCCAAAAAGAGGCTTCAGAGCAGGGAGGCCCAGCTCACACAGTAAGTATCAAGCATACTATGAGCTCAGATGTGATCTCAGTTTTCATTTAATGATACTAATCGCTGTGTATGTTACAGGACTTTTCGCCATCTGCTGACTTCTGTCCTCCTCCACCGCCTGCCAGTGTCCCTCCTGGCACGTTTCCACCACAGTCTTCCACTGCTGGGATTAATCCATTCTCACGGAAAGCAGGTGGGTCACGTGATCAGTTACATAATATTCTGGCTCTGTGTCAGTGTTAGTCACTTATCACTATTTTAATAATAGATTTCAACATAAACATGTTGTCAGCTTCCACATTCTTATGGTATGTTCTGAGGTCAATGAGTGTCTTAGCTAGCGTGTCCAGTTTCATATATTACAGTCATGATGGACACCGCTTGGATTTTTTTTAGTGCAGAAACTTAAAACATTGCAAGTGTTTCGGCTGTTACTGAGGACATTTTACCTCCATTTATCTCTACAAATGTGAGCATTTTCTTTAAATACCCATGTCTTCACTATAGGCCAGCAGCTGGGTTAGAAACCGTGAGACTCACCTCTGTCACAGGTAAATGAACTTACTTAACCTCCTAGGACCTGCCGTCCACATATGTGGACATCACATTTTGGGTTATTTAGACTAAAATACTCAATTTTGCTCTACATGGGCCTGATATCCACTTACGAGGACATTATACTGCTACTGTTCTATCGAAATTTTAAACGAATATCCTCAGATGTGGCTCTTATTTTTCTTAAAAACAAAAATAAGGTTAAAAAAAAATCAGGTAATTCTTTGTTTTTACATTCATCGGGCCCCAATATGCCCAAATATCAAAGAGAAATTAAAAATGCATGTCGTGGAAGAGTTCGGGTCTTAGGAGGTTAAAGATAAGCATATTGATTCTTTATAATTCTTTACGGATTCACATTAACTAAACATGTTCTGTTTGCAGGATCATGCGTCTTGCACCAAAAGTGAGGATATCACAATGTCACACCACATGTCGTGTACTGTAAGATGCATACCGCTCACTAGTTCTTTTTTAGTAATGCCCTTTAAAATCCTAGAGCTTGCAAACCATGATGTTCCTTGTTAGTTACAGGAATACTCTGCATCGACTTGGATATCAACTCATATTGCAGTGACAAAAACAGCTGAGGTGTGTTCTAAAAGCTGACTTAGGGGAAATTACCAGCAGACGCAGTACATATCTTGGGAAAGGGATAGCTTAACTCAGAGCAATCACGCCAGCAACACTGGGGCTGAAGTTCTACTGTGGCAAAAAATGTTGGTGTAACTGTGATCACTATGCCACGATCATCTGTGCTATATGCTGCAATTAAATATCCAGCTAAATATAAGCGTGGAAAATATTTAAAGATATACACACATATACCACTGCAGTTATATTATCTATGCTCCAAGCACTGTTTTAAAACAGAAATAAGACGCACACTAATAAATGCTGTGGTCACAGAAGCTTTTTAAGCATAATTTGTAGCCCAGCTTTGCAGAGCTGTACCACATCATGGGCAGTACTTGATTATTTTCTGTCATCTGAAAAGTGCAACAGTTGTATTTTAAATTGCACACGGGACAGAAAATAAATGCTGAAAATAAAATTGGAATAGTGTCTTCTCATGTTGTCATACTGCCAAGATTGATGATACCACATGGCGAGAGAGGGGAGGATAGCTCAGGGAAGACCTCTACCAGCCAAATACCCAGTACCCTCTTACAGCCTCTACACCCACCAGAGAGCAGACGCTTCCAGGACCAAACTGTTTATGTGCTGATGACTTATTTGTAATGAAATGGAGCTCAGCATATAAAAGCTTGATTTTACACACTGCTCTTTAAATTGTATATAAAAAACAGTAATATATACTCTTGTAATTGATTTTAGATTGACCTTTTTTATTTCTGTTTCACCGTGTAAACATGTTTGGATGTAACTGGGATGTTGTTAAGTCATTTGACCTTAAGTTTCAATGTATTGTGTTTTTGTACCTCTATACGACCACATGAAATGTGTTTATTCTCTAGCTTTTCAGCAGATTCTCGCAGCAGAGGAAAGTATTATTAAAAGCTGTATCTGCAGTCATGTTAATAGTCACATATTGAATAATTACATCTTGCCAAGAAATAGCTGCAATTCCCGACAGAGCCTCTCAATTAATGTAGAGCAAGTGACAACACGGCAGGTGCCGTCTCCTTTTACGATTAGTCTGCAGTAGCCAAGAATGAGTGGCACACGCTGGCCTTGAATTCAACACACGCACAAACAAACACACACATGCAGATGAGCAGCATGTGTGCATACGTCCTGCCAATAAAGTGTCACTATACAAATTATCAGAGTGGATTTATGAAAGACTGCTTAAAATGGCATCCAGATGAGACTATACTAGAACCTAATATATTTCGAACAAAGTTACATATTTTGATAATTGGAAAATAAACAAATAAAAAAAACTCCTCAACAGGCAGACATCTTATACAAAATCTTTATTGAGATTCGGATTCACAGTAAAATGCTAGTTCACTTTTACTCACTGATAAACTCCAAACATGCTACGCTTCTTGTACATGTAGCAATATGATTACAAAGAACCAAAACTCAGAAGATGGCAGCATGCATGATTAAAATACATTTAAACCTAACGTATAGGAATCTGACATCTAGTACAATATCATAAATGCTATTACTGTGTTTAGAAAAGATCACACTCTGTATCCGGGCAAACTCAATTTTTCTCACTATGTGTATTTCTGTTGGTAAAATAGAAATCAAACTACAAAAGTAAGCATGACAAATGCTGTAGTTGAATAAATAAAGCGCACTATGAATACAAAGTACTAGTATGTGAAATTCACATCCAAAAAGTCCAAATCAGCAAAAAGAGTAAGCAGTAACTGACTGGCAATCCAGCTTCCCTGAATGATTACAAATGCACTGGTCTATTAATGTTGTCACAGTAATGTTTTTAGTATCAGTGATGCAAAATCTTATCTACTCAAGAGCAGTACTTAAATATTGTAATTGTATTTGTATTATTCTTTGCAAGGGTTAAGAACAATAAGCTGCCTATCATTTGAAGCTGGTATGTCTAGTGTATGTTTGACTTGTGCCACTGTTGCTACAGAGTGGTGGTGCATTTATGTATTTCCACACTTCCTTTGGGAAATGTGGTGTAAAGTTCATGGCTGTAGTGCATGATTGAAGAAGTCGTATGATAAAATGCCTAAATGCAAAACTGCTATATTGTGGGTAACATTAATTACATTTACAGTGCATTCACAGTTTTAAAAAAAGGGTTCAGTGCTCTTTTAATGAGTTTCATATCACACCATTAAACTGTCAGCTCCAGTGTCAGTGCTGTGCTGGCGGTAATTTTTATCCCAAGACATTCTCGTGGGAACCCAGCACGCTGGGGAAACAGAGTGAGGATTTTACAGCTCATGGCACTCTAAATAAATATTGCACATTAGCATATGTAAAGTGGTGCCCTATAACCTTTTGTCCAATGTTTCTTGACCTTAATAACTGAAATGAAACAGCTGTAGCACAGTAATGGATATGTACAGTTCTTGTCTTTAACAGGCTGCGACACTTTTGTCCCCATGTTTCTGCACATGCTGTGCAAGTTTTGTGGAACACTGGAAAGATTTGTCACATTCTGTGCAAACAAAAATCCTCCCTGCACAGTTTTGCTCCTGATGAAGCTTCAGTTTTGCTGGGTGGCTAAAATTCTTGCTGCAGCCCACGCAGTTGTGGGGTTTCTCTTTACTATGTATGAACTGGTGACGAACAAGACGGGAAGCCATGGCAAATGCCACGCCACATTCTGTGCACTTATGGGGCCGCACTCCGCTGTGAATGGCTTCATGCTCGGTCAGGTTGGAGGACTTTGTGAAACACTTGGAGCACACAGAGCAGACAAAAGGACGCACTCCTCTGTGGATTTTCTGGTGCTCTGCCATGCGGCTAGCCAGGGCAAACCTCTTCCCACAGTCGGGGCAGGAGAAGGGTCTTTCTCCCAGGTGCTTACGCTCGTGGCGCTTCAGAGCTAGGGGTTTATTGAAGGTCTTGCCGCAGTGCGTGCATGGGAAGGGCTTGTCATTGGTGTGCATGTTCCGCTCATGCTTCCGCAGGTCTGAAGAGCGGATGAAATCCTTGCCGCAGGTGTCACAGATGTATGGCTTTTCACCAGTGTGTGTACGGATATGCTTACGGTAATCTGAGGACCAGATATAGGTTTTGACACAGAAGGGGCAGTGATACGGTCTTTCACCCGTGTGCAGACGCTTGTGTTGCTGCAGCGTGCCTTGATGAGAGTAAGCCTTGCCACATATATCACATACATGCGGCTTGAGGCCTGTGTGTGTTTGTAAGTGACTCTGCAGGTTGCACAGCTTCTTGAAAGCCCATTGGCAGTGCGTGCATTTGAATGGACGTTCCTCTGTGTCAGTGTCAACTCCATTGCGTTTTTTCATTGCTACCAAAAGTCGAGGGATTTTGTCGTCTTTACACTTTTTAAGCAATTTCATAAGTGAAGGACTATTTACATTCAGAAGTTTGGTCTTATTCTCACCTTCGCTTGGAGAAGATTCCTCACTACTTAACTCTAGCTTAGATGTCCTCTGTTGGTCTGAGACATCACTTTGGCTCTTGGATTGTTTCAAGAACATCCTTTCATTCTGTGTCACAGCATCCTGGAGCACATCATTTGGTTTACATATTTCATTGGTCTTAGTGTATGCAGTGCATCGTAGCGATGCCCCTTTGTGTTCTTGCTCATCCTGGATTGTTGTTTCTTCTCCTGGTGAAAGCCCTGCAAACCTCTCCACAAGAGAGAAGTTTGGTGTTTGAGGATTCAGATAAAGGATTCCAGTCTCATTACTCTCTGGGAATGGCTCCATCCTTACACCATTACTGCCAAATGAAGACTCTATATTCACACTGTGAGTGTTACTCAAGATGTATCCATCCAGGGGAAAATGAGTGACACTTCCCTTCCTTTTCCTTTTCCTTTTTTTGTCAACATCTGTCCCAGTAGACATCTGCAGAATGACACTGATTTTGTCAGAAATGTGTTTTGAATTATTTATTTATTTATTTTTTACTCATAACTGATGCCACACAGACTTTCTGCAGCAAGTCTGCTGTTGCTGCATGCACCAGTATCATGTAAATATCCCACACATGCTCTGACACCATGCTCGTCATATGACACCATAACTTTACTATGTGTTCCCGCAGCGTTATATTACTATAAAAATAAAAACAACTCATTATTTTGTAATTTCACACATTAAATCGTTTTATAGAGCAGCTTACCCTGGAGTCTCCACGCGAGCAGGTCAGATCCCGGAGATGCCAGGGAGATATACTAGCCCGGGTACTAGTATAACTCTATGAGAGATGTCCGGTTGCGTTAACGGGCGGAGTTTGGCAGCAAGCCTCTGTAGGTCAGCATCTATCCTGCAAGTCAGCAGCAGCAATTATATCTTCACAGCCGGGCTCAATTTACCCTCCACTCACTGAACTTGCCACCCGTTTTACATACGACTTGTTGAGTAATTGCATCAGACGGAGACTTTCAGATTGCGTTGGACGGTAGAAAGTCGGAAACTTTAACAGTTTACTCGCTTAAGTTGGATCCTTGAACTGGAAAGACTAACTTTTAATTAACTTTTAGTTTACCAACACTCTTTTTGACTCTTTTTATTTTCTTTTTATTAATTTGTTTTAACAGCTTTAAAAAATAGAAATAAAAACAACAACAACAACAAAAAAAGAAGAAAATAAAATGTTTTTGATAATGTGTGAGTTAGTGCCGCGGTCCGCGCATTGATATTTAGGTTACGCTCTCAGGAGGGCGTTAATGAAACGTTCAAATTACCTTTAAGCCAAGGAAGAAACAAAATGCAACACTCTACTTAAATTACATATCACAAACCTGGAAACATTTTTGCTCAGTTTAAGTATACTCGCCCTTGCTATTAGTGAGTGACATATTTTGTTTTTGAACGGGTATAAAATAATGGTCGTATTTGTAAGTATGCGACTAGTGCATTGATATTTTAATTAAATGCATTATGAGGTCTGGTGGAGACGGACAGAAATTTAAACCATTTGCTTGTTAAATAATTACACTGAGCTGAAAACATTTGACCAACACTAACCGTTTCAGCACAGCTAATATTCAAGTATATTTTCATTCCCCGTTAAACTCTAACCGTTAGTAATAATCTAAGAGTGAGCACCGTACTGTCCAAAAGTCTATAAAGTATCACATTGATGACGGTGTTTCAGATCACAGCAAAGTTATTTTCACCTCTATTTTAAGTTCATGAGCATTTTGGGGT